TCCACCCCCACCCCTACTGCATAGCAGGAGCTGGAGCCAGCTGCTCCAGGGCTAAAATCCAAACCAGCCATTGTGCCCCACCTTTGGGCTGTGTGTGTGATTGTGTGTGTGTGTGTGTGTGTGTGTGTGTGTGTGTGTGTGTGTGTGTGTGTTGGCAGAACCTATTGTATGCCTCATAGGTTGGAGTGCTAAGTCTCAGGCCCTGGATGCCATGCTTAGGATACCTGAAGATACCACCTCAGGGAAAGGGAGGAAGTTGGGTGAGGGTAGATATTGATTGTGGGCTTTGGGGTTAGTTGAGAAGTGGCAGAGTGGGACACTTTGTCCACTGACGGGCTCAGTGTGCAGTCATGTAGCTAGTGTCCAAAGTGTCAAGAGAGGGAACATGTTCATTTGGAACCATGAGAGTGTACAGATACATGTGCATAGGCCTGGAAGGGCAAGAGGCTCACCCCATCCAGAACAATGAGTGTAAAGAACAGCAATACCAAGATTCCACTCACATGCTTGTGAAGCCCCTGCCACCCAGGTCCCATGAGGGGGTGAGACAGGAACCAACAGCCAGGCAGGTCATGTTCCAGTTCCTCTAGCAACTGCTTAAGGGGCCATCTCTGGATGTTTACCTGAAGCTGAACCTCCTCTGTTAACCTTTCATGTATAAACAATTGCTTAGTCTATGGAGCAACACATACATTCAAGGCCAAATTTCAGGTAATGACCCAGGATAGAGGGAAGCCCTCCTGATTCAACAAATAGACTGGGGACCGTAGCCTCCACCAGGTCAGAGTGAATGAAGCAGGCCCTGACAAACAGATCCTGGTGCGGTCCAGAAGAGGGAGGCGAGCTGTTTCTTCTGTACTTTCTGAGCTTCCCCAGGACTCAGAATTGAAGTCTGAGAGGAGAAGAACAGGTTTTCACCTTGGGGTGCCCAAACTCTGAGGGGAGAGATAAGCCCTGCCCTCAGGGAGTCTGTGCCTTAGATTTGGGAAACCCTACAAGAAGTTTGAAAAGGTAACTCAGTATTGTATAAAAATGCATGGGATGTATATTTTAAGAATTTTTTACTGGAAATATTTTTTACTGTGGATAACAACATTTACCATTTCAACCATTTTTAAATGTACAGTTCAGTGGCATTAACATTGATTGCCAAAATTTACATTGTTGGGCAACCATCACCACTATCCAGCTCCAGAACTTCTTCATCTTCCTAAACTGAAACTCTGTACCCATTAAACACAACTCCCTATCCCCATTTACCCCAGCACCTAGCAGCCACCACCCTATCCTTAGTTTCTATGAATTTGACTACTACGAGTACTTCATATAAACGAAATCATACAGTATTTGTCCTTTTGTGACTGGCTTATTGCTCTTAACATAACATCCTCAAGGTTCACCCATGTTTCAGAATATCCCCCCTTTTTATGGCTAAAAAAGATTCCATTGTATGTATATACTACATTTTGTTTACCCATTCATCTGTCAACTGACACTTGGGCTGCTTATTGTTATAATGCTCCTATGAATAGCCTTATTGCATATATTCATGTACAAATACTTGTTTGAGTTCCTGCCTTCATTATCTTTTAAGAGGTAAGTGGTTTTAAGAATATTAAAGAATGCAAGATCCCACCAACTTTCAAGTTCTTTAAAATTATATTTCCTAGGCTTCCATCAAATTTAACATCCTGAGTTAGGAAAAAGACATTTACACATAGTAAAAGTTTATCTCCAGGGAGGCAGCTGTGGACTTCTATTAATAGACAGAGGAATCAGGAGATGTGTATAACTTAAACCTAGGGAAGCAGACTAAGTTATTGCCTCTTGAAGTTTTGAAATCATTGTCAAAACAACCATGTAACTAGGGTTTAGCATGTCCAATTGAGGTCACAAATAAGAATATAGGCAGCCTCTTGGCTTCAAACTACTAGTAGCTAATATTAATTGCAATTCAAACATTGTATATGGCTTTAAGGCCCTTCTAGTTGTTATGATGAACAGTTCAAAGGACGGTGGGGCTGAGCCTAGCTAGCTAGCATGGTTTCAACTTTTATCAGTTTCCTCCAATGCCTGGAGCTTAAATTGCTGTCTTTGTCCAAGACCCAGTTCTATTCCAAGGCCCTTTTCCACCTCTGTAGTCTGTCAGGCCAAGCCTGGACTCCACACCAACGCATCCATTCCAGCTGGGAGTCTAGATCTACATAAATGAAACCAGGACAAAGAACTGTTTTGTACTTGGGTGGATTGTGCCCTGGGAAATATTTAACTATGCTTGTGCAGGTGGACACTGCAGCCATTGCAGCCCTGTGGACACCAAGGCACACCATATGAAAAATGCCATCAAAATGCAACGGGCTTGACTCTTCTGCAAATTGCAGCTATTCTGAAAAACCCTGAAAGCCTAGATCTTTAATTTTCTTCACAATTCTCTTACAGTGATGGTAAACAATATGTAATTGTGGTCTAAGGAATATATAGATATATATGCATGCATTTGTACATCCACAGAGGGAGTGATGAGGTAAACCAGTCTCTTCCTAGTAAAAAGAACTTTATCTCACATATTCTAAAGGTTAAAAATTTTGGAGGAGTATGACTTTCTTTCTTTTCAAAGCCATGTTTATGTTTATTGATATTTTATATACCATAAATTTGTTTATCTGACAGTTCATGGGCTTCCCTCCTTCTGTGAATCACAAAACAATTTCAGAAAAAGTAGAGAGGGGCTTTGGGAGTTATTCCTATTTAGAGAAGAAAACCAGCTTCCTGATTTTTTCTTTCAGTCTGACTCCTTTTAGTAAACAGTAAAAGTTATATATCAAAAATTCTGAGTTTGTAGTCTTGCAACAAATGTCACATTTTGAATATACTGTATGGGCAAGTTAAGGGGAACCATATGGAAACATGTATTGGGAGGCTTATTTTAAGTTCTGCAAGTTAAGGGGAACCATATGGAAACATGTATTGGGAGGATTATTTTAAGTTCTGCAAGAACCAATATGATTGATTCATTTAATGAAATTTTATTAAATTAATAATAATAAAAAGTTGTATGGGATTGAAAGCATGGATGGATAGGAAATAAAGATGACTGACCAACCTTTCCCTCCAGGGACTTGGGAGTCTCTGCTGAGGTTTTACCTGTGTATGTTGGTTGAGTGAGTACTTGAGGCCAGCTCCACCAAGAGACAGACCTAGCTCCCATCCTTATCCTCAGGGAAAAGGGACACCGCTCAACTCTGAAATGTCGATGAGCTGTGGAGGGGAGAAGGACAGGGGAGCAGATGGGGTTCCTGGACAATTGTTCCGGCTGTCACCAGAGAGGACAGGCAGGAGGGAGCACTGGATAATTTACAGAGGAACAGATGCTGAGGCTCCTCCGGAACCATCTGGCCAAGAGAGGCCTGGGCTCGGGGTGGATGCTGTCTTTAGAACTGAGTAAACTCGGCCTCTGGCCCACCCCATTTCCTCTACCTGAATTGTGGCTTTCCCAGGAGACTCTGCTCCCTGAAGACCTGCCTCCCGACTTCCATCTGGCTCTCATTCTACTCTTTCTTTTGCTGAGCCTGTGTTCTGTCTTTGCTACCATTCCTGATAGGGCTAAGTTTGGTCTTGGGGGTCAGTAATGCATTTTCCTATTCGTAGTATTTTTAACTTCTACTCCCTACCTCTATATTCCAAAATCTATCACTCATCTCCATGCCATTCATTCATTCAACAAACATTTATTGAGTACCTACTATGCTAGGAATTGTTTTACACACCATGGCTGCAGTAATGAGCGAGAAAGTCCCAGACCTGAGGAGTTTGCATTATAGTGGGAGATGTTCAATAAGCAAACGAATAAATATTTAATATGTCAGGTAATGGTAAGTGCTGTGACAGAAACATTAAGGCAGGGGATGCTGTTTTAGATAGTGGCCAGGGAATGGTTCTCTGAGGTGGTGACGTTTGAGTAGAGATATGCATGGGTGTGAATATCTGGAGGAAGAACATTCTAGGCACGGAAGATAGCAAACTTAAAAGCCCTGAGCTAGAAAAGTATGCTTAGTGCATTAAATAATGCCATGTTATTTATTCATTAAGCATTTACTGTGTGCTAGACACCTGCTAGGGAATACGAAGATGCAATCAGACATAGTTTTTACCTTGAAGGAGTGTCAGCTTAGTGAGGAATATAGCATTTAAACAAATAATTACAGCACAGGATTACAACAGTGAAGTTATGTGCAAGTGGCTAGAGATGCCCAGCAAAAGGAGTACCACATCCAGTCTCGGGGACTGGGGAAGGATTTCTGGAGGTGACAATTTGGGCTGAGGGCCGAAGGAATAGGAATCGATAATGCAAGGGGAGGAGAGGGCTTGGACATTTTAAAGCCTGAAAACACAGGACAGTTGGAAACCTGAGGATTGAAAGCATGGAGTCCCCGGAGAGGTGGAAAATTAGGCTGATGAATGTGGAAGAGGCTGGATCATGCAGATCTCTGTGTGACAACCTGAGAAGGCGCTTTTATCCTTTGGATTATGGGGACTAGTGCTACGACTCTCTCACCATATTTTTGGGCTCTTCCTCACCCCCCTTTTTATCCAGAGTACCAGAATCTTTCCCCATTCTTCCCGCTATTGCCGTATTCCTACACCTCCTTCCTTCCCCAGTGGCCAGGCCTCCAAACCCCGCTCTTAGGATGTCCGCATCTTTCTCGGTCACCAAGGGCCCAGCCTGAGGCCACGCCCCATTGCCACGCCCCGGTGACGCACGGCGCCTAGAGCGTGGGGATTCCCGAGGCCGTGGCCACTACCCGGCATGCCCCGCGCCAAGATGGCGGCCTGAAAGCTTCGGGCAGCGGTGGAAAGTTTGTTGTGGGATTGGAGTAGTCAGCCCTTGAGGCTAGAGTTGCGGCGGGCGGGGGTGGGGGGACACCAGCACTGAGTAGGGGCAGAGGAGGGACTAGCTCCAGGGTTGAGAAGAGGAAACAGAGTGGTAGAAGGTTGGAGGCAGAAAAAAGGGAGATTGGGAAGGAAGGGAGGGGCCCTAGGATCCAGTGGCAGCCCTGGGAGAGGGGGAAGGGTCCAGGGCGGGGAAACCAGAAGTAGGTCTGCAAACTCTGGAGAAGCAGAGTCACGGATTGGAGGGAAATTTCTGAAGCTTGTGATGGAGGCCCGACTGTAGCAGGCCGGTGTGAGAGGAATGGGGTCTTTTCCATGGAGGAGCATATTGGGGCAGGGGGAAAGAGAAACCTGGAGGATTCTGGGCAGGTTTGGTAAGGAAGGAACTAAAACTAGTCAAATGACCCTCTTTCAGACTTAGATCAGCCTTTCCATAGTTCCTTAGCAGCATCTGCCCCAATTTCAGCTGAAGATTCTGGGTCCCCAGGGACTGGAAGAGTCACAGTGCCTGCTTGGAAAGAAGAGGTAGCGACTTGCCCAAACCCAACCCCGGAGCGGGTAAGGTGTCCTCCCCTGACAGGCTGGCATGCTCCCTGGAAGCAGAATGCATGGGCTTCCAATGATGCTGAGAATCGTTTAATATGAGGAGGGTGCTCTTTTTTTAAAAATGATTTTAAAATTACAGTTGGCATACATTATTTTATTCGTTTCAGGTGTACAACATGGTGATTACACACTTAGATAACAAAGTGATCATCCTGATAAATCTAGTACCCCACTGACACTGTACATAGTTATTACAGTAGTACTGACTATATGCCTTATGCTGTACTTTACATTCACATAACTATTTTGTAACTACCAATTTGTACTTAATTCCTTTCTCTTTTTCACCCGCCCTCCCATCTGGCAACCATCGAAAAATTTTTTTTGTCTGAGTTTGTTTCTGTTTTGTTTGTTTTGTTCCTTAGATTCCACATGTAAGTGAAATTATATGCCATTTGTCTTTCTCTGACTTACTCCACTCAGCACAATACCCTCTGGGTCCGTTTATGTTGTTACAAATGGCAAGATTTCATCCTTTTTTATGGCTGAGTAATATTCTATTGCGTATTTGTACCACCTCTTCTTTATCCATTCATCCATTGATGGATACCCAGGTAGCTCCCAGGTCTTGACTATTGTAAATAATGTTTCAGTGAACGTAACGGGATTCCCATGTCCCTTCGAAGTCATGTTTTGGGTTTCTTCGATAAATACCGGGAAGTGGGTATTTAGCCTTGTAGGCTTTATTTTAAAGTCTTTTTGATGTAAGTATTGCTACCCCAACTTTTTTTCTTCATTTCCATCTTTATGAAATTCTTTTTCCAATCCCTTTACTTTTAGTCTGTGTGTGTCTTTCGATTTTAAACTCTCTTGTAGGCAGCATATGTGAAGATCTTGTTTTCTTATCTATTCGCCACCCTATCTTTTGATTGGAGCATTTAATCCATTTACATTTAAAGTAATTGTTGATATGTAGTTATTGCCATTTTTTATTCATTTTTTTGTTTTTTTTCCTTCTTAAAGAAGCCCCTCCAACATTTCCTGTAATATTGGTTAACAGAGCCCTGTCACAAGCAGTTTTCTACATGCTTACTGTATCTTCTTTAATCTCCCCATCACATCTTCAGTTTGACATCCTGCCTGAATTAGAGAAAGGCTCCTTAGTGTTCTTTTGGGGATGTGGATTTGGTGGGTAGTGGAGTCAGAGGAGGGGGAAAGGCTGGTTGGGATTATGGAAATGAAAAACAGATCAGTTTATAGTAAGAGGTCAAGTTGACTGGTGTAAAGGTCTGGGAATGTTTATTACATTATTCTCTGTTCCTGAGACCCCTGATACTTGAGAGCTACTTTACAGTCTGGTGATGAAAGGACTGTATAACTTGTGCCTTTCTCTTCTGGTAGCTTACTTCTCTTTTGTGTTCTCTCCATCAAACTACGTTAAAAAAAAAAAAATCAATTTCACTAGCCAAACTAAATATGGCTTCAGAGATAGTGGACTTGGGATTGGAGAAAAAGGAAGAGGTCTGGAGCCACAGAGTGTAGTGAATATTGTCCTCACTTCCTTTGATGCCCTATGGTTATGCCCAAACCAGAGTTGGGAGCAGGCTTTTTATTGAAGCCTGTTGCAAGGCCGGCATCTTCTTCATGATTGGACTGGGAGGTCTGGTTTGATCTAGAACATCTCAATAACTGTCACCTGCTCCCTGCTTCCACCCCCTCTCTGCCAGAAAAAAGTCTGACTCCAGGTAGACCAACCCAAATCACTGTTACTAGGCCAATTTCAATAACTTCAGATACCTGAAGAACTCATGCTATTTAGTTGTGACTCCATTTCTAGAAGCTTAGTAACCTTTTATTTCTGAAGACAATTTTTGGATGCCCCCTTGGGAATTATGATGACCAAAGACAGTGTGGTGAGTGCACATAGAGGTTAAGAGCACTGACTCTGGAGCCAGACTACCTAGTTCATATCCTGGGTTTGCTGTTTGTAGCTGTGACCTTTAGAAATTACATAGCTCTCTGTGCCTCAGCTTTCCTCATCAAATGAGTTTGGTAAGAGTACCTATCTCATAGGTGTTAGATTCGCTGAAGGAGGAACGCACAAGGCCGAAGGGGTCAAGCAAGATTTATTGTAGCAGAGTGACAGACTGGCTGAGCCGAAGATGGCATTAATCCCGATATGAGGGGACCTGAAACTTATATGGGTCTTGAGGCAGGCCTTTTGGTGAGAATATTTTGGGTGGGTAAATTGGCGGGGAAGGGAGGGAGAGCTCAATGAAGTAAGAGG